AATTTTGCGTCTTTCCGAGCTACCTAAATGTAAGGAAAGGCCGCACATTGCCATATGCTGTACAATAAAAGTTCTATAATAGTTTCATCTGGACGATATTTCATTTCACGTAGGTATTTATGTTTCGATTACTCTGGCATTTACACGTTTGTACTTAGCAAGAGCATTCCACCTACACCTTCACCCCCTATACGGTCAACTTTCTTCGCCTCCTTGTTCATTAGCATTTTACACCACTGTATCACACGTTACCATCTTATGCATAGTTGTGGTATAGAATATTAACCCTCGCCGTTGTGGTTAATCAAAAGATTGTTAGTTTTTTTACAGTTTTTCTCTGACTGATTTGATCAGTATGCAAATCTGTGAAAGTAAGAACATTTCAAAATTTGATTGATGCCATATATTATTGATTAAGGGAGATTTAATTGTTTTTTTTTTGGTTTGTTTGTTTGTTTTTAGTTAGCCGAGTAGTTTGAGTCAGCGGTCGCCAGTGGGGTTGATTAAAAGATTGTGCGATGTTTTGTTTTTCTCTGACTGATTTGATCAGTATGCGAATCACTGAAAGTTAAAACGGTTCAAAATTGTATTGATGCCACATAGGTTTGATCACGGGAGCTTTGATTTGTTTTGTTTTCTTTTTGCTTTTACTCTGCTGACTATTTAGAATTGGTGGTCCATGATGAATAATACTGGGTTACCAGTAATTATGTCACCCTTATGACGTCATTTCTTTGAAGGGTCATTTTGTTTCTACTTTTTTTGTGAAATAACGACATTCGTATGCGTTGTAAAGATGGGATCAAGCACGTGACGAAGGAGACTTGGAACCCCCGTAGATCGTTGCTAAGCTACCCGACGTTCCTAAAGTTTACAAAGTCAGTCACATGTGGCGCCACATGAAGAGGCTACTGGAAACGAATCTTAGCCAAAAGCAATTGAAGAGCACTATTATATCTATAATGCTTCTAAAATTTATGTATTAAATTTTAATGCTGTTCAATACAAGGCCCAAAAGAAAAACTTCATTACTACCCTACACAAAAACACTCCCTTACCACAAGAAAACAACGACACAACTTTATGGATTGTGACTGATGGGCAGCAGACAAATGAATGAATAGTAAAAAAAGGCTCTTATTTTGAGATAATACGCGCGCCGCCGTGTGAAATTTGTGCACACTGTATTGTATTATAGGAAAATCCAACTGTTTTTTTCTTGCAGTTATTCACCAAGACTTAATATTTTGTGAACGTTCCCCTTTTCAAGAGAAGAGCGAAAAACGAGATAAACCTACAGATAATTGTTTTTTGTCAAAGCGAAGTTGAGAGCCTCGCCAGCCATTGCAATGAGTAATCCACTCGCCCTCCTCCGCAATGTATGGTTTCACGTTATTTTATTCTTTTGACGGAGAGGAAGAGAAGGTCAGAGGCAGCTGAAGAAAACGAGCTTCAAGTTTGAAGTTGATGCGTCGGGAAGAAGATTTGTCACAATGTCGCATGATGAAGCGACAAAAAACATCCCGGAGGAGTCACTGATGTATCCAGCAACGAGAAATTGGCAAGAATGTATGAAACACCTGAAGAGAACGAC